CATGATAGAAAACTGTCATGAGTGCAATCCATCACTAGCTTAACATGATTATTTCACATTTTTATATTACATGCATATCTTTACTTTCTGTAGACTTGAAAAAGAATACCTTGCCATTAAAACCAAAGAAACAGAAGAACAGATTGAAATGAGGGTATGTTTGATATAATTGTATTTATACCCTGATACATGGATAGTAAAGCAAAGAATGCAACAAATTGAAAATGGGAAATTAATCTTATTAGTGTTGTGTGACCGCTGAATGTTGAGTATTTGAATAGGAACTTTAAGATTATCTGTAATGCAGGGCTGGTAAAATTTGAAAGTTAACTTTCCTTTGAAATTACCCAATTTTGAGAAATTTCAAACACTACCATATTCGCTTGTAGGATTTTAACTACACTTACCCTATGATTTGTTAAAATCAAAATTGTACTGGAATTTAATTTACAGTAAAAAAAAAATAGACTTTCAAATATCAGTTTTTTGCCCAAATATATTGGTGAAAATGAAAAAAGAAATAATCACATCTATTTGCACTTTTTTTGTAACAGTTAAATAACAAATGCTTATTTTGGCGATTTCAGAGACTTCGAACAGAGAATCGGTTACTAAGGCAACGAATAGAAGTACTTGAGAAAGAAAGTGCGGCATTGGCTGACAGATTGATACAAGGACAGGTGACAAGAGCACAGGAAGCGGAAGAGAAGTACGGTATCAAAAAAGAACTAGCGGCTCTGAGACAAAATGAAGAACAGACTAACGAAAGATTACAAGCTGCCCAAGAAGTAATTACCTCTTTAAAAAATAAGGTATGGACAGATCTATAATCAAGGTTTGCATTTAGTTCTTACTAATGGCCGCAAGCTGAGAAAAATCTTGTATGCATTATTATTCTTTTTATATTGAAACTTTAAAATTTAGTCAGTATTATATTTGTTTGTCCTTTAGAAAACAATTAATTGCGAAAATGTGTGATTTTCTCAAGTCACTATCATCAAGATCTGTAGCCCTTGGGAAATTATCTCTATTTGGTCTAAAACAAACAAAGAAATAATGGAAAAATGGATAAAAGATATCAAAAACAAGTGAAATTTTCCAACATTTTGTCTCTCACTAGATTGTAGAAGATGGAACAAGTTTAACCTACTTTTTGAGGGCACTAATTATAGATAGGAAGATAGATAGATAATCTTTATTTAACCCATTGAGTGCAGGTATTTTCCCGCTAAAATATTTTTCTTATTTTGTAAAATTATTACTAAATTTCATCATTATATTAGACAGTATTATGGATGAAGCACCACAGCATGTGTTGGAATCCTGTCCCTGACCACAAATGTTCACACAGAACATTTTTGGTTATTATCGCTCATTAAATTATTATTACAAACAGAGAAAAGATGTATAATAATAAGGTTATTACGAGAATACCGGAAAGTTTGTGCTAAGGCAGTGCAGTGTCACGCTGATATCTTCTATCCATCTATAGATACAGTATAGCTTTTTTGCATTTTTTTTTTGCTGAAAAAAATACTTTGGTGTTATTCTTGAAATGATACCACGAAATAATCTCATTGAAGGAATATAATTACAACAAAAATAAAAACCGGCAAAAATAAATCACTTGTTTTTTTTAATGTAATGTATTAATACTGTTTGTTTCACTTCTCTGATCAGCCAAAGTTACAGAGTTCTAAAGCTCAAGAAGAGATGGATTCTGTTGTCACGGCGTTACAAGAAGAACTCATCGCAGTAAAACTACGAGAAGCTGAATCATCGGCGTCATTAAGAGAACTTGCAGACAAAGTGCAGGAACTTGAAGAGGTATGAATCAACAAGAGACAATATCACTTGTATCTCATTTTGGTCCAAAAAATGATGTAGATGATGTTTTCAGAAAATAAAATTCAGACTAGTTACTTTGTGACAATTTCAACTCTGTGTTAATGGGGCTTTAGGTGCTTTGTCTTGAGTCCTGGGGAAGTTAATGGCCAGAACAAAGACATTTTGTATTATTTCAATGATGCAAGAGTTATAAATATGTCACTCACTATTTTAGTTTTTGTCTGAATCAGACTTCCTCACGAATAATTAATCAGATTTTTCAATGGTCAAAAACAATAATATTTTAATGACTTAATATACAACCAATGCGACAGGTGGGGCTGAAAATGCCGTCTGCACATAGTCTCATTTGATTATTTCAGCTTGTAACATACAACGATGTACTTTGAAAACAGAAGTCAAGCAGTGCTATTGGTAATTGCATCAGAAGAAATATCCTTGTACAATTTTAAGCAGTGTTTTTTGGAGTGACAATAGTATAATTAATAATTGTATAAAAGGAGATTTATTTTTAATGTCAAGTTTTCGATGTGGCTATAGACATCTTCTATATAAATAATGTTATTTCTAATGTAATTTCTCTATGGACCTTTGAGTCTGAAATGAAATATAATAATAATAATATCACATTTTCTATGATTATGTAAGTTTCATGTTTATTAATATTTTGTATCTGTTGTACTTTTATTATCAGCAAAATAAAGAGATCGTGGAGCAGCCGAGTTATAACGTGGCTTCAATGCAAGAAGAGCTCATAGCTGTAAAACTACGAGAGGCTGAAGCCAATCTGTCACTCAAAGAAATGAGACAAAAAGTTGCTGACCTTGAGGAACACTGGCATGTGAGTATACAATTCACATTAATCTTTTGAAGGCTATATTTTCTCAAAAATTTCATTGCAAAATTGCTAGTCTTTTTTTTCACTGGATTTTGTTTTTTCTTTGATTGTTGGATCACAGCAAAAGAGTACCATAGTGCTGCCACATATATTAAGGCCATTCAAGCAAAAGTAAAATTTTGCACAACTGGGAGACAACTTTACAATTTATATAATGGAAACTGTTATCTTCCTGAAAACTCGCCAAACTAAATTTCAATTTTTAAAATGTTTACAATATTAAAATTAATATCAATAATAATGTACAAGTTTTTAGCTCTGCTGTCGACTTTGTCGAGCAGAGCTTATCATATGAGTGATTGTCCGTCGTCTGTTGTCCATCGTCCGTGTCAATGTTTTACTTTGATATCTCTAATTCTCTAATTTTGGTGAATATTTTTGTCATTTTTGGTAAAAAGTGATATTTTCGACTTCTTGTTAAAAACCGCAAGTCCAATTGCTTTGATATTACATTTATAGGCACTACATGTGGACCTCTCTCAGATATGTTCATTATGAAATGATATCTTCAATTATCTAATTTTGATGATTGTTTTTGTCATTTTTGGTGAAAAGTGATATTTTTGAATTCTTTTTGAAAACAGCAAGTCCCATTGCTTTAATACTCATTTTCTAATGATATCTTCAGTTCTTTAATTGAAATGTGCATTGCTAACAGCAGAGCTATCTCAGCCGACTGGCTGCTTGTTTTTAATCCCATGTCACCAAGCAAAATTTCAAGATATGAAAAAATAACATGGAAACCAGTACAATAATTCAAATTTTGAACATTTGTTATGACATTTTAGTTTGCCCTGTGACAAAATAATGAAACCATAGTAAGCCGGGGACGACGTCAAAAGATCGATGTCAGATAAAAAACTTAATTCCTTTAGTTTTTTTCCAAACCCCCCTACCCCCCACTGAAACTTAATTGATACAGACTACATTCACCATTAAATACAAATTGATAATCAGACAGTAGTATTGCATAGCAGTTGGTTGCCGGGTGGGTGTAAAAAGATTTTACAAATGCACCTCATTTGACGCACAAATTTACACTCGAACCAAACCATTTTTCTGTTTTTTATCCCTTTTCGGTTATTTCTGTCCATGATTGGATAGAAAAAAAAAAACTACAAATACTCCAAGATTTTTTTGACTTCATTAAAAAATAAAATCGTTTTTGTAGGATGGAAACTTTTTGAGGTCAAAACCCCCACCCCCAAACTAAAGGAAAGAAGTTATTTATCCGACATCGATCTTTTGACGTCGTCCCTAAAGGTGACATATAATCCTCAATTCAGCATCTAAATCTTGTCTCCATGTTCAGCATGGGTCCCATGTGACAAGTACAACACATGTAGAATATCTTATTTATACAAAATTTAAACATGTGTCAATCAAATTCTGTTGCATTTCAAGTTCTTGCTATACATAAAAACTTTCTTTTTTTTTTATTCAAACAAAATATTAGTTGAAAAAATTAATTTCCTAATTTTTGCATTAAAATTGCAGACCACATTTTTTTTAATTTGATGATTATACCTCTAGGTTGATTATGTGGTGTTAGTGTCAGCATTTCTGTATAGTTTTCAAAATCATTGAATACCACAAGTTTCCCTCTCTGACTTATCTCATTAATGATGATTTATTTTTTGGCAAAACAGAGACATTTACAAAGAACAGTACTCAGGAGAAATGAAACAAACAAAAAGAACAACGTTTATCTACAAGATGAGTTGATGACACTGAAGTTACGAGAAGCGGAGTCCTATGCATCTTTGAAAGAAACTAAACAACGAGTGATGGAACTACAGACATTGGTAAGTTTTCATCATGGTTATCAACTGATATCAGTACTGACTAAGTTTGATAACCAAAATCATGTGTAAACTGAAAGCATGTCTAAACGGAATCTTGTGCCAACTAAAAACCTGTCTACACTGAACTCTGTGCCAACTAAAAACCTGTCTACACTAAACCCTGTGCCAACTAAAAACCTGTCTACACTGAACCCTGTGCCAACTAAATCCTGTCTACACTGAACCCTGTCCCAACTAAAAACCTGTCTACGCTGAACCCTGTTCCAACTAAAAACCTGTCTACGCTGAACCCTGTGCCAACTAAAAACCTGTCTACGCTGAACCCTGTCCCAACTAAAAACCTGTCTACACTGAACCCTGTGCCAACTAAAAACCTGTCTACACTGAACCCTGTGCTAACTAAAAACCTGTCTACACTGAACCCTGTGCTAACTAAAAACCTGTCTACACTGAACCCTGTGCCAACTAAAAACCTGTCTACACTGAACCCTGTGCCAACTAAAAACCTGTCTACACTGAACCCTGTGCCAACTAAAAACCTGTCTACACTGAACCCTGTGCCAACTAAACAACTGTCTTAACTGAATCATGTGTAAACTGGAAACCTGTCTACACTGACTACAGTACTTTGTAAACTAAAAAAAACTGTCTAAACTGAAACCTATTGCATTGGATTTTGTATACTTTCTACTACATGTATAACAAATTTCAGGGTGTGTAACTATGTGTATAAAATGAATTACATTTACTCCTAACAGAATCAAGTTTGCAGTAACCAGTTAAGACGAAGTGAAGAGGAAAGAATTCACCTGAAAGAATTTCTGGAAGCTTCTGAAAAACGAGAACAAAAACTTCAACAACAATTGAATGAAGGAAACAAAAAACTTGCCTACCTGGAAGCCAAGGTAAAACTTGTTGGAGTTGAAAGCATTTAAATGATTATGACTATCAAAGAATAACAATTACGGGAAAATAAATAATATACTATGTTGAAGAAACTTTCAATATTTATGATTTTCTGAAATTGATTTCAAAACCAAAATAAAAAAAAATGTAAATGTGGTTTCCTCCAGAGTCAAGAAGACTTGGTTTCATTCCGGTTAAAGAGAGCAGAGATGAACACTCAGATGGTTGAAATGCAACAGAGGATTGCAGAACTAGAAATTCAGGTAGTAATATTTTAGTATTCTTGTATTCATGAAATATAAAAGTAGCATATTTAAAACATGTTTAGAAAATAAATTGTAATGTTTCATTGTGACAGTCTTCAAAGCTGTGACCTGTCATCATTTACTGACACCATCATCTGAACAATCAGTCACCTGACCAGTCGTCTCCATCACCTGACCTGAACTTCATTCATCAGTCACCTGACCAGTCATCTGACAGTACCGTCACTGAAATGTGCACTACTGTTAGCCACATCCAGTTACAGTAATTAAAACAGTGACATCTACCCATCCCCATGAAACAATGCCATATGATTTTTCTTGTTTTAACCATAGACATATCTAACATTTGTGCTACTAATAGATTAAATACGGTATATTGAAATTACTTTTACAGTATAACATTTCAAGTTTGTAAACATTCAAATTTGTTGTTTTTGTTTCCATAGAAACAGGTAGATCTTACCAAAGGTGAACTGAATGACTCTGAAACAGATCAAACAATAAAAGAACTGCAGTACAGAATAACTGATCTACAAGCTGAGGTAAGTCACAATCCTTATGAACGACCTCAAAAGGTTGCACATCCTGGAACTTTCCAGGGTCACACATCCTGGAACTTTCCAGGGTCACAGTACTTTCTCGGGTCACACATCCTGGTACTTTCCAGCACCAGGACACAATGCCCCCTAAGCTATTGTGGGAAAGCTTCTCAGATACCCCATTGACAGACTAGTTTTCTTCACTTCTGTATTGAAACTAGACAAGAGAGAGGTTTTCTCCACTTCCATGTTGAGACTCGATAAGTTAGCAAAATAAAAATCCAATTTAGTCAGATTTATTTTTATTCTCTGAACAAAGAAGAGATATGTTTATCATTGATTGATAACTTTTTATAAATTGGTTACCTCCCAAAACAGAAATCCATAACAATTACAACAAAGACCTTGTTAGTAATAATAATTGCGTCCTTAGAAATACAATGTTTCTATCAGTTAATAGCAATAGTTGTGATAACTACTACAATAAAAGGAAAGAAATTGCTAATGGGATAAAGCAATGTTACTTTAGATTTGTATCCATAGAAACCTCATGGAAACTGAAATTTGGCATTATTCTTTGGAATTTTTTTAAGTCCTCAGTTTTATTTTTTTCACAATAAAGGTGTTGCAGTTAAGAATCAAAGCCAAAGCCAAGTCATCATTCCTTCCTTTTAAAGATGTGGTAACTATGGCAACGTATGACTATGATGATGATGAGGAGGATTTCAGTGATATTGCTGCAGGGATTGATGTTTCTCAACTTGATTCCAGTAATGACAGTAATCGGTTATATAAAATACGGGACATGGTAGAGAATGATATACAAAAAGCAACTGAAAAAGAAAATGTTTCTGCTTAGCAGATAGGCCTGATCTAAAAGACCTCTCATATTTTAAGTTGGTATGGCAACAAGTAAAAAATAGGATGCTCAGTTAAATCCTATTTTTATCTGTTTTGTCTGAGATAGTAGTATGGTGACATTACTGAGATATTTATATCTCTATTTTATCATCAATGTCACTGTGTATGTTAGCATATGGTCTGATATTTATTGCGTATATCGTGCAGTCCATCCAAGTCACAAAACAACAGGGTTTTAGTTATGTATGAGATCTATGATGACACCATTGTTTAAGATGCCAGAGTGATACATTTCACTTCTCAAGTCAACATGGTTCATCAGTATTTTACAAATGCTACCATTCATGTATAGTTATTGTATTATTGTTAGTGGGTATATACAGATGTTATTTTTAATTGAATTCTTTATTTTTAAATATAATGGCTAATTTTTAACACTTATACATGATATTGTAAAAAAAACTTGTAATTGATATTTCTTAACAAATCCTGACTCTACTCTGTTATAACAGTGAGATAATGGTTTTTTAGAGATATTTTTGGTTATTTCATTGTATTTGGATTCGGTGTTTGGACTGAGTATGAAACTTGTCTTGATTTTTAAACCTAATTTTATTCATATTTTTACTTTTAATTCTAACTTCATTATTTATTCTAGCTATTCTTATAAATTACAAAACTTTTACCACTGTTAACTAGTGGACCTGGTTATCATGTGAGTGAGTGAGTGGTCAATGTCATCAATGAATTTGTGATACTCTGTCATCCAATGAACTGATTTAATGGTTAATGAACTAATGGCTGACAAGTATAATTCCTTGAAGGAGTTTGTCATTTAGTGAAATGCCGGAGTTTGTCATTTAGTGAAATGCCGGAGTTTGTCATTCAGTGAAATAATGGCATTCAGGCATGGTGTGATTTATTGAGTAGGTTTGAACATGCCAGTTTTATTCAATGACAAATGGATGTAAATTATTGACTAGTGTTAGTCTTGCTCAGTGAGGAATGATTAGTGAATGGTCTAATGAAATATTGACTAGTATCTGTTAGTGTCATTTAATGAACTAGTGACTCTGGTTATCAAAACAAATTTATTACGGGCAGTGAGCCTGTGTAGTAATGATTACATTATTTTCAATTTCTCAAAATGCAGATATTTTCCAATTAGGTTTGATTTTAATGTTTTCCAATCAGAATACCTTGTGATTTGTCAATTTTCCATTTTTATAACTTCCCTTGAAAGCAATATAATGCTTGTGTCATGTGCTTTGAAGTTAACATTTTTGTCAATTCTTCTTCAACTTGAAATATCCGTCCAGTCTAGATTGTTTCCTGCCCTTCCTCAAAACAACTTTGATGATGCTGCCTGTCAAAGCTCTAGTGTCTAACTATTCTAATTTCATAGCCAATATAACAACATTCTCAGCTTATGTACATCTCCCCAGTTGAAGTGGCTAACTATGATGATTCTTGGACTGTGGTGCCTAACTACAGTATACTAATTGCTAATCTGTGGTGCCTAACTATGCTGAGTCCAGAATTGCAGTGCCTAACTATGCTAACTGTAGTGCCTAACTCTGTATTCTCAGCTGTAGTGCCGATCCTAACAGTGTTATGAACATCTTTTTCAATTCAAAGGTCATTTGTGTGAAAAATTAGTCAGAAGAGTGAAAAACACCGAAATTGACGAAACTTCTTTAGACAGTTAGCATGTTTTACCCCTGTTGCTACCTTAATAGAAAATAACAGCGTCCGGATAACTTTCGGAAATTCCGTCGCGTTTCGGAAAGATTTAATTTTCACAACTTTTGAATATTTATTCATACTTTTAGGCTAGTGAGGAGGTTATAATAATTTTTCATTTCACTTTAACTCTGTTTTTTTCACCCCTCAGACCCCTTTGAAAAGTCACTTCTGGCCATTGTAATGGCCACTTTTTTTTTAATGACCAGAATACCAACCAGAAATTTTTTAATGGTCAAAATATTGGCCAGTATTTTCAAACTGGTAGTTATAATGACCACTGTTTGTACACTGGTCAGAATAATAGTAATTTTTTATTTAATGATGGAGTGGGTGACAATCTATTTTTTTAATGGGTATTATAATGATCATTTTATTTTTCATTACATGAATAAAATGGTCATTTTTTTTTTATGTCACAGATATACCCGGTAATGGCACATGGGGATTGACAGCTCTCCTCTTTTTCCTCACTCGCTTCAGTTTGCTTCAATTTTAAGCCAGTACAAT